AATAATCTATATTAATATACTGTATTATATTAATATAATATACTGATATATTATATTTTTAATGTACATTAGTCAACATCTTGTCGATATAATAGGAAAAACTGTATTTTTTTTGGTTATTTGGACCGATTTGGTCGACATTTCCGAAGTATAGGAAATGTCGGCCGACATAATGTAATTTTTATATTACCATCCATTTTCATGTCCGTGAGCCTCGACATCGACATATGTCGGGCGACATTAGCGACATTTGGCGACATTTGAAACCATGATTCTATCTCATCTACTCTGCTCTAGATCTATGTGCAACATCATCTTCAATTTCGGCTCCTTTTTGGTCTATACCAAGGTAAAGGAAGCAGTCACTTTGAGGTATCTCTTTGCCTTCCATCCTAATTGTACCTTGATCTTTTTTTTTTTTTTTTAATCTTGTGTTGCTAAATTTGCATGACAGATACCATCCCATTGCTACCTTTGATCCTGGAGTCATTCTTCATATCTCTTATTTTGCATTTTGTTGCACTCTGGACTTGTCAATCAGCACCCTCAATTGGCAAAAACATGCATCATGGAACCTCCTTCCGGATGTGCTTAGTCAATCCATTGATGACTAGTGTGATAAGAGTAAGGGTTGAAATCGTTGAACCCTGAGGAAGGTCCATGATAACTGAAATGCCTGATATCTATCTTTTAGTTGTTCCAACAATAGTCATTTCACTGTCATACATCTTAGTTAGGTTAATGTATTCATTTGGAACTCCTTTTTTTCAAAGCTCACCATATTATATCCCTAGGAATTTTATCATGTGCTGGATTAAAGGATAATGTAAAAATCTTTCATCCATTATCATGCTTTTCTACAATTGCCTAAGTAAATAGCTTTTACAGTTGATCTCCCTAGCATAAAGTCAAATTGGTTTTCAACATGCATGTTTCATGTTGTAGTTTTTGTGCAATCACTCTCCTAAAGTTTAATGGTGTGGCTTATAAAGTTAATTCCATGGTAATAATTACTATAAATTTGCACATTCCTTTTATTCTTATATAGATAACTTTTTGTTCTTCCTCAACTCCATTCACTAAGTATTTTCCTTGTTATTGATGTCTTATTGAACACCTTAGTCAGCCATAATAAGCATCTCTCATAGAAAAAAATGAAAATTTTCTTTTGCTATCAAAAAAATAAAAAGCATATCTCTCATAGATTTCCAAACGTAGATTAGAATGCCATCAAATCCTAAAGTCTTTCCCTTCATCTTTCTTAGAGCCTGTTTAGCAATGGATATCCTTATTCTGGGAGATTTTCAATCTCACCAAAGCAACTAAATATTCTAAATTGTGTTTAAGTCTAATTAGGTCTTATTGGGATAAGAAATTAATTTTATGCATAAATAGTCTTCATCTGAAGTTTGTTGAGACTATCATGTTGAAGTTTTTTGCTGAAGAGGAGATAACAGTTTATTCTCTTTAAACCTAAAGGGTATTCTTGTCATTATGAAAGTTTTAAAAGGTTAATGTCAAACGAAGCACTTACTGCACAATTAGTAAGTAATAAGTAGTGTTTCCATCAATTATGTCAAAATGAATTTCAAATATAGGTGGGCCTATTAGAATCTGACCAAACATACTAAAAGGTCAAAGTTTCTACTGAGTTTCAATCTTTTATCTCTCTAGTTTCTGCACAGAAATGAGGGTCAAAATAGGTGGCCCTATGGAACTGGGGAAATGCAACTTTTTTTTTTATCTCAACCCCAACCTAAGTAACCTGGAATACAGGTAGTAGGTCGATTCATTGTTTTCTGGTGGATTGGTAAAGGAGGTATTCAATATTTGCATTGATTCCTTTCAAAAAAGGGGAAAAAATGCTTCCTGGCATGTGTTTAACTTTGGTCAGAGTTCCGGCAAAATATTCCTAAGGTACATATTAAAAGATGGATCTTTGATAATCTGTGCAAATTCTTTTGAATACATGAATTTATTTATTTTTCTGTTGTTTTGGCTTGTATGTTTGTACTATGTGGATGCGGAGTATGACTTTTCTGGTACATCCCTTTTGGCAGATTGATCAACTTATTGGTAAAGATCACCTCTTTAAACGCAGTATTATACTGATAAAAGCTTGGTGCTATTATGAGAGCCGCATTCTTGGTGCTCATCATGGCCTGATTTCTACATATGCTTTGGAAACATTGGTGCTGTATATCTTCCATCTCTATCACTCGTCATTAGATGGCCCTCTAGCAGTGAGTTTCACTACAAATTAACATGGTTGTGTTGTGTGTATATGCATCAACTCATCTTTAATAAAATGCTACCTGTTTATAGGTTCTATATAGATTTTTAGACTACTTCAGCAAATTTGATTGGGATAATTACTGTATCAGTTTAAATGGCCCAGTCTTCTTATCTTCTCTGCCTGAAATAGTTGGTAAGCAATATCTTTTTTTCCTCCCTCTCTTTGAGATCGAATGGATTCAATTGTTCATAGATCCTGATACTTGTGTGCCTTTTGCAGCTGAGGTACCGGAAAATGGTAGGACTGATTTGTTGCTTAGTAAAGAATTCCTTAAGAATTGTATGGACGTGTTCTCAGTTCCTGCTAGGGGGAATGAGACAAACTCCCGAGCATTTCCCAAGAAGCATCTTAACATCATTGATCCATTGAAAGAAAATAACAACCTTGGACGCAGTGTGAGCAAAGGTATGTAGCAGTTTTTCCTTCTTGGGTAGTCTTCAGGTCATTGTGTTAACAGAGCTATGGAGGTCTTTCTCGATGTTCCATTCCAGTCGCATTTTTTTCCTGAATTTTTTCAGAAGGGAAATTCTCAAGAGCAAAGCTTGAAGTAAAGAATAACTCTAAAGCTAGAAAACCAAGTATTTAATTGAGTTTTATGAAGACCTTGGGGAACCTTGCTGATATTTCCCATGAATTATTTTTTAAATACATTGATGGTTATGGTCACTCCATGAAAATGTTTGAAATTTAAAAACCTCCAACTTAAGCTAACGTCAATGTTTTTTCAGTGTAAAACTTCTTCCACTTTCATTTGTTAATTACGTATGTCTTCACACAGGCAACTTTTATCGCATACGTAGTGCATTTACATATGGGGCCCGAAAACTTGGCCGCATCCTTTTGCTACCAGGGGAAAGTTTAGAAGTTGAACTGAAAAAGTTTTTTATGAACACATTGGATAGACATGGGAATGGGCAGAGGCCAGATGTGCAAGATCCTGTCCCACATTTTTGTGATAATGGATCTGGTCTTACATCATCAAAATCAGGCATTGGGAAAATCAGAGAGGATAAGTCTCATTCAGAATCTCCATCCATTGATTCTGGTGGCACAATGGGAGAGTCATCATTATGTGAACAAATCAATGGTGTCAGGATATCAGGGACAGAAAGAGAAAGTGGAACTGAAATTGCAAATGAACCACAAAGTTATTCCAACAAAGTTGTTCCTGCACCATTGGAGTTTGAACCAGGTGATTCTGCACATGGGCATGCTGTTTCAGGACATCGTCTAGATGGGGATGCAAAGGACCTTGCTACATCCAGGGTTGAAGATTCACGAAACATAAATGAGACGACATCTAGCTCTGCACCTCCAAGAAATGGGAAGGGTACTTCATTGTTTGGAAAAGCACAAAATGCACCTCGCCTCCACTTCTCCCAATTATTTCCCAGAAATGGGAAGCCTGGAAGTGGAAATACCAACTTTCCAAAGCCAGTGGACTCTGGAATGCATGAGAAGGTATCTTCTTGGTTTCCACCAGTAGGAGCAAGCAGTTTTTATTCACAAGACATGGAAGAGACTTCTACGGTGGCCAGTAGTACAATATATTCTTCAAGTAGTCACGAGGGTCCAACTTTTGGGTCAATTAACATTATAATGCCAAATCAAGTTGTCTATTCCTCAGAGGATTTATCTCCTGCATATGGAGAAAGGGACTTGACTGGCAATGCTGGAAGTCTTGAAGCCATGGATACCTTGGCAGATCTTAGTGGGGACTATGACAGTCATCTCTATAGTCTCCAATATGCTCAACAATGCCACGAATATCACGAATATACCTTCTGGGGCACTGTTCTGCCAATCTCTCCATCATCACCTCAGCTGCAGAACAAGCATGGGTGGGATACTCTTCGTCGGTCAATGCAGTTTAAGAGAAATATATATTCACATGTGAACACAAATGGTGTCATCCCAGGATCACAATTCTACACTGTAAACTCTCCACTATTGTCTCCTGGTGCCTTCATAGAAGAAACATCAAAACCGCGAGGAACTGGAACATATTTTCCCAATACGGTATATTCACTTCAAGGCTTTGGGTGTTTTGGATTTGAGTTATGTTGAAATTATTGTTTGCGGCTGCGTCTATATTTTAGATGATGGGGCTGTTTTGCAGCTTTGTGTTTCTTGTTGAACTTTGCAGATGGTGGGGCCTTTTTATCTCAGTGATTTTATGCTTGAAATTTTTGCAGAATCATCATTCATACAGGGAGAGACCCTCCCTGGCGAGGGGGAAGAATGCAATGGTGGTGACTCAAGGTCAGTTGCAGAGATCCTCTCGTAACAACGGCCGAGCTATGACACCACCAAAGATGAATGTGCTGGACAAAGGCAGCCATGAGCTGTCACAAGCAGACTTCCCAGTTCTTTCAGGCCATGGAAAGCCAGGGTCGTTGGAGTTGTTTCAGTCTGGCCACCCGACTGTGAAGAGTTCCTCACATTCCAATGGCTTTTCTGCCCAAACTGACAGACTTGAATTTGGGTCTTTTGGACATATGTCATTGGGTGCACACTCGGCACAAACAAGCAAGCAATCGGACTCTGGTACCACACACAATCAAGGGGCAATTTCAAATTTCCCAACTTCTGCGGCTCAGAGGATGAGACCTGTTTTGGGTATGCAGCAGGAGAAAAGGTACCGCAATGTTCTACATTATTAATATATTTGGCATTTGGGAACATATGCAGGATGTGTTCTAAGTTCTCTTCTTTGCCTTCCCCCCCCCCTCTGGTTCGGACCTGCAGGGTTGCAGTACAAACCTACCATCTGAAAGATGAAGACTTCCCCCCCTTATCCATCTGAATATGGGTTGCAAGGGGAGGATCTATGTATAGATAAGGTAGATGAACAGACTGAACAGCAGTAAATTCTAACAGACCAGCCCGGAGCTTGAACTTTTGCTTGCGTGCCTTGCTGTCGGCATATTTGAATCATCAGAAAAGAAATCCTTTTCTTTTGTTTTTTTTTTTAGTGTGGTGCACAATGCATATTGTACATTCTCCTGATTCTTTTTCTGATCTGTATTCCCCTTCTTCCTGGTAGCTGCTTCATACACAGAACCTCGTTGATGATTTTCACTCCGGGTCGTCCTTTGCACCATTGTTGGTGATAGATAAACAGAATTTGAGTTTGGTTATTTCTTTAGATAGATTTTCTTTCCCCAAGAAGCATGTGGTTTCATTATTACCCTAAGTAATCCAGCATTACTGCAATCTTTTAGTGAAGTATAAAAGGCACTAAAGGCCAGCCCATAACGTCAACGCTACCAGGAGACACCAAGAAGATTGCGTAAGCGCAAGTGCGCAACTTCATTACGGCCTTATGGGGGCCAACGGGTCAATTACATCTGGCCTTTGGTGCGCTGAAGTCGGGTGATGCGCCCTGCTGTGTTGCTTGTATTTGTTATTTCACATTTTAACTCGACTAAAACTCACAGGAGGACAAAATTTAACGCCTATGTTTGGTGTGTATTTCCCAATAAAATAATTACACTTTCAATGTGGAACTTTTGAATTAAAGGCCGTAGGTCGGTGAGCTGTTGATATTTTGGAGAATGCTAACAATATGAAAACCATCAACGGCTTTCCAAGTTACTGCCAAAAATGGGGTTGTTTTAGTATTTTACCTTTATTCTTTTGGTAAATTTATTGAAAATTAATTCATTCTTCCAACTTGGTGCATGTATAATTAGCACCAATCTTCCTTGCTTTAAAATGTTATGTCATTACGTGTCCAAATAAAGAACAGAAGGTAAAGAACAAATAAAGAACAAATCCTATTTTTGTATTGGCTATTTTGTCATTTAAGATATAGAGAGGGAAATCCAGATGGGCAACTAATTAATAAAACAAATATAAAATATGAAAGAAATATTATTCGGCTTAGTAGATAGTATAATAATTAACAAACAGAAGGTAAAGCATCTGTGCCCAAGCTCTGCCCAACCATAATAACAATAAGAAATTGAACAGAGTTTAATGGGCATAATAATAAGGTTTTTTTTTTAATTTGATTTAAATTTCCTAATTATAATCAAATAGTTGCAAGTTGAAGGGGCTAAAAGGGTTGGGGACAGCCCCCACCACGCAAAAAAAAACAAAAACCGGTAGTACATTAAACAGAATGGCAGAACGAGATTCACGCAACCGACCCTCTGTTGAATGATGATGATGAGTTTTAAGCAAATGTTTGGAAAAATGGATGCTTGAGCATAGGCTTCTTAAATCGAATTCAGACCTACCCACATGACACTACAGCTGTACATTGAGAACATCTCTCCCCTTGAATGGTAACATCTAACATGGGATGTTCTCAATGCACAGATGTACTGAAGCGTGGGTAGGAGATCCGAACTCCCTCAAAACACAAAGCGAGGACATATTGACATAATCTATTGTATTTGTATACCAAACCCTCTTTATGCATTGTTCGTGCTTTTGACATTCGCGTGGAGGGCAATGCCCAGGCTATCGAACTTAAATACAGACAACGTACACTCGATGAGCAGCAAGAAAATATGATGGAACTTAATGTGCATCGAACGTCGAAACTGGCTTAAGTGTAAACGGGCTACACCATTCCTTTACCTAGCAGAAATGGATATATCGTGTTCAACAAAAATCATGTCCAGATTGTGAAAACATAATTATATATTGTATGTAAGCTCCATAACAGTGTAGGATCTACTGATCTTTTATGGCTAAGGTTGTCCTAGAAGATTCAGCAAGCCTTCCAATCCAAGAATGTCAAAATGTAATCACAAGAATTAAGTAAATAATGAAAATAAACTCAAGCACTGTTTTCAAAACCGGACAGTCGGCCGGAAAAACCGGGAACCGGTCACCTGACCGGTTCTGTTTACCTCAAAAACCGTTTTTTCCCCCCAAACCATTGATTTTGGTCAACAAACCACTGAACCGGCCGGTTAACCGTTCAAACGGTTGACTATTTTTCAATTTTGTAATTTTTTTATTTTTTTGTCAGAATGGGCTGGCCATTCGGGTCGAATGGTCGAACCATTCAAACCGGTAACTGGACCCCTGACCGGTTCGTTTTTAAAAACCATGAACTCAAGTTTCATGTATAATTATGTATTTTGATGATAGAGGGTGAATTTATGAGGTGTGTAAAGAGTGCTTTCAGTTAAATTGAGAGTTCCAAGACCTCAATTTTTGCAGCATGAGGAAACCAGCATTGATAACCAAAGAAAAGAGGAAACCAGCAAAGTCACCCCTTAAATCACATTGTTTTCACTTATAACACCCCTTAATCACATTGCTTTCAAAGTGCACAACATAACCATATGCTGATACTAGATAAATTTCAGTTACGGTTAATATCCATGTGCAAAGATATCATACTGCTACATTCCTATATATAGAGCCATGCCCCATCTTGGTGGATGGGCTGGGATTGAAAACCAGTATACATCGTACAGCACATCTGACTTAGGCCGGGTACTTGAATCCAATGGAATGACTAAACTGCAAACTGATATGCCATTTGGGGAGTGAAGATATACATCTTACAATCATGAGAATCAACTTGAGTGCTGAATGATGTCAAAGCATCTTCTGGCATATCTTCATGCTGGCAGTAGATGCATTACAAAATAAGTACGAGTTTTACAAAAGAAAGAAAGAAAGAAAAGCCAAAAGCCTACCAAAAAAGAGCCAAAACATAAAGCAAGAGGACTGAGGTTTCTAGATATTAAAGAGGTTATACCAAGGCTGGAGGCAGTATAAGTGGCAATGAAAAGGCACAGTAAAGGCAATTCTTTAGCTGCAGTAATCTGTTCCTGGATTCTGTCTTAAATTTTGGTTTGGTAGACTCTTTTTCACTATGTTACCCAGATATGGCATGGACATAATTGGATATGCTGTCTACAGATGTCATAGGTTTGGAACTAATTGTTAAGGTTTTGATCAGTAGATAACCCAGGTCAAAGCCAGGTAAAAGTTAGGCAAAGACTCATAACTCAGATGGTTATGATTGCTTTGCATGGTTGGTTCTCTGAGAGATTAGATAGATGAACTTTTGCATAGTGAGTTCGACCAATTTTCATGTGCAACGTATTCCTCGATGGGTTCTGGATTATAAGTATTCTGAAACTACATGTTGGAATGGACATTTCCTTCTATGCACCTATGCAAGCACAAGTATCTATATTATAATCATCCAATCATCTTTGTTCAAGTTGTTCATGCATGTTTTAATCACCTTCCATATATCTCGTACAGAAACACTGATGGTTGGGTCAAGGCCCAATGCTTCCCATTTGGCTGTGATTGTGACTGCTTTTGAACACCGGTTCCAAAAGGCCACTACCAACCGGTTTCCAGACAGAGGGCCTGCCCAAACCTGCAACAACAGGACTCTTTCTATGAGATGGTACTTGGTGTAAGATATATATCTTAGTCTGTATTCTGAAATGATAATTGCAGCATGGACATCTCATTTTTTTTGGTTCTCAAGTCGGCATGTGTCTCCAAGTCAACACATGTCAAATTTCCCAAATTACAAGTGGTACTTGGCAGTATGGGAATGAAGAATTTATAGTTTTCTCCCACCAGGCCTTTTCTCCAAAATTGCAAACCTTGGGAACAGTGTACATCACAGAGATGACCATTTCCATTCATAATGTATTTGTGCACTTCTAACTGATGAGAGCAGAAGCTTTTTTCACCATAGTGGATATAAGTTTTCCAAAATGTCCTTCACAAGCATTACATTGTTTGAAATTTGATATATTGTCAACATTGCATTAATTAACCACAAGCTTAGCCTTATGGAAGCACCTCATGCACAAGTTATGATACTATAAAGATACACATTTCTGCTTTGGGAAATAAAAACACAGAATAATGCAGACATGGAAAAGGGAAAGAAGCCATGAAGAAAAATACCAATTTTTTCCATTTCCTCATCCAACAGTAATTTTTGGGGCTTTTCTAGTTTGTTTTGATTTTAATTTTTCTACTTGTCTTCTAGGTTATGGTTGCCATGCTTCATAAGTTTAATTGATCTAACGAGTCAAAGAAGTAAAATGAGTCATGGTGGAAAGTTCCAAAATTTAGAAAAGTTGAAATTGTGGGTTATCTCACTTTCCTTGCAGCTTAAGTGCTTTTTTGGATGGAATAGTGGGCAACATTCTGTTTGACTAAATTTTTGAGTCATTAAATACATTTTTCAGTTACCTATCCAATGAGCCAAGATCTTGGGAAACCAATCTTCTTCTATTGTCTTTTTTAAGTATTGCTTTTTCTTTTTTTTTTTTTTTGCTTCAAGAGTTCTACTATTCTTCTATATTCTTTATCTAAACTCCATGGCCATTATTCAATATTGGTCCCAGCTATCTGGTGTCTTGGGAGGGGTAGACTGGATATGGACCTAACCTTTGTCATTTATCTGTGCTATATGACTTTCTTCTAATTTCTCATTTGCTACAATCTTCATCCAACACTACTATCAATCTAACTACTTGTATTTCATTTCTATTATTACTTCCCATTTCAAAGTTCTTTCTACTTAATCCTAAATTTCCATTTTCTGTTATGTATAAATCAAAAGATTTTTATTATATTACATATAACAGGGGAAAAATTAGCTGACAGTTACTGAAAAAGATTTTCCACCCACTATTAATACCACGTGCAAAACCCATACTTCCCCCACTTGTATAATTAATAAAAATTCACCATTACAGGAAAAAAAAACAGTTACTGAAAAATAACTTCATAAACTTGGTCAGTTTGCCAGTTAACTCAGTCAAGTAAAAACCCAAAACTGATAAACTACTTTCCAATTCTAACTAGATTTAGATCAATTAGCTGACAAAAACATTGCTTCTTAGAGATATAGATGTAATCTTTGTGGGAGAGGTAGACCTGTTTGCAGTTGTCCTTTCCTTCAGCATAGACTTTCCGGCCTTGAACCCCAAGTGGGTCTGCAAGGAAAAAAAAAAGTGTTCTTAATTAGTCATTCTGCTAGTGCATGCTAAAATTGCACCTAGAGAACATGTCAGAACAAGATACCCAAGAAGAATATAAATCGTAGTAAGAACAAAGATACTACTTTTTAGTCAATGGGAACTAGATGACAGAGAGAAAAAGATGTTAGGGAACCCACCATTATGGTCATACACACATAAAGTGATAAAGATATTCCCCCAAATTCTTTGGCCATAATAGCAACATTAGTATGGAAATGAAAATATAGAATACCTTGGTTTACAGCAATGACCTCTTTATTGCTCAGAATCTCCAATGTTTCTGCAGTCATGTTTCTTACATCACAACCTATCAAAAGAGGTGCCTGTACACACAAAAAAGTTAGTAAACTATGCTACATGCTGTGCAACAGTCAACAGACCTTGTACTTATTGCCCCTTGATCTCCAACAATTGGAATTTGGGACTGTTATTTTTCATGTTGTTGTTAAGGATGTTTTAGACTAGTGAAGTTGTAAATAATACATATTGGTTTAACTTTTGAGAGATCAACATTAAAAAGCATGGCCTTGACTCATAAATTTGGTCTTCTTCCATCTAAGGTCATCTTGTGAAAGAATAAGATAGTAAGAAAATAGCTGAAGTTGATCATCTACTGAGGAAGACTCTTGACAAGACCAGAAAAGTAACATGAAGAGCTCCTAATATGTCATTTTAGATAAAAGGAGAATAGAAGATTAATTATAGACACTTGCAAGATATTTTTCCAAATAAAACAAAATCCTCTAGTCTTGCAGAACAGCACCTTCATCAATGCCCAAATACTGAAATGTGCACGGTACTCCTGGTAAGTCATGCCTCCATTGCCAACTTCTAACATATCTGGGTCTGCTCATAAAGGTCATGGAATCTATTAGCAAGTTGGCAGAAACTTTAATGGTTATAGCTTCCAAGTTCCAATCAAGTCTGCAATTAACAAAAGAAGGCATCCACCACTAAATAATATCCAAGTCTCTACAATGAAGACATGTCTTACCATTCCACCCACCAGGCCCAGCATATGCAGCCCACTTGTCATTAAGATCAGCGATTGTGGTCATACTTCCCAATAAAGAGAAAAAATATGATCAGTATAAAAAGGAACCAAGTTAATCATATTATGCACATCAATGACATGTACCTGCACAAATACTCCCGAGTCCTATAAAAATCCTAAATAAATAAGCTCCAGTTTCTGTTGCAGGCTCATTTTTGTTTCCATACTGTTATAGACTTATAGGTATACCACATGCTGGAATTCTCAAAACCCTGAAGAACACTGAATTACTGAACCAGGATTTCTATCTATTGGGTCACTGACTCACTGCCATGTTCATCAATTGGATTATGAAATTGAAATACTGCACTTCCGTTCAAATTACAAACCTTGCCCATGAGTCATTGATGTCATCCGTTGTTCGCCAACTATTTCCAACTCCACCTGCCCACAAGGCAGGGTCATCCACGCCCCTAATTAAAATGAAAACATCATTACTTTTAATTGAATGACTTTAAATGTACAAAAAGTGCAAAAAATCTTACTTACCATTCACAAAGTGAATAGAAAATTGTATGGCCAGTTGCATTTAGAGCATCACGCATAGGTGGGTATCTGGAAGTGATGGAAAACTGAATCAATTTAGGAACTGCTTACAAATGTTTTTAGACTTCTTACTTAAAGAGATTCAAGGTGAGGTTAAACCTTTTCTCTGGTTTGATCCCTAGGTTGTAACAGTTGTCATACTTCAAATAGTCTACACCCTGAATGAAAAAGCAAAAAAAATATAAATATAAATTGGAAATGAAGCGATGTAAATGAAAACAATTTGACAAATGTGGGATTCACCTAAATTGAGATGACCCAACTGCAGATTCAAAATTTCATTTCAAACTATTTAATTTGTACATAAATGAACTGGAATTCTCATGCCCCATTTTATGAAAAAATATAAAAAATCCTTACCCAAGATGCAAATAATTCAGCATCAGCACTCTCGTGAAAAAGGGATCCAGGCCGAACTTGACATGTAAAAACCCTAAAAGTTTCATTTGGATCAGAAGAGAGTGAAAATAAAGTGCTAATAGCATCTAAAATAAATTATGATGGAGGATTCATTTTGGTATTTCTTTGTTCACTTTCTCGAAGTCTTAAGCATGTACTAAATTCTATCCTTTTTACCCCAATAATTGTGAAATTTATCCTACCCAGCATCAGAATAAATACCAAGCTTGAGGCCCTTCTCATGTATATAATCAGCAAGGGATTTAATACCGGATGGAAAGGTTTCTGGATCAGGGACCAAACTGCCCTGCACAATCACATAGTTGTTATGTGGGAAAATCAAAAAATAAACAGAAAAAACTCTTTTTTTTCCTCTTAAGGAAGAAGGCTTGCCTTGCAAAATGCTATATTCTGTAGGGCTTTGGTCAGCAAAAAATTCAGCATGAAGTTGCAAGTTGCTGAACTTTAATGCATTGAGTTGCCAATCAGGAAAGAAAAAAGGTTTTCTAATCAGGTCAAGCAGGAAGCCTTCCTATTTGATCCCACCCACTTCTGACACAAAGGATAATGTGGCTGATCCAAACCATCCATTGACTGTGCAACCCACAGTCCATACTGACCCTGTAGTCAATCTTATATCAGAAATTTGTCCAATTGTTAATAGTTGCCCATACTTTTTTAATAGAAATTATCCATAAAATGGGGCCCATTTTGAACATGTGGCAAGATCTTTCTTGCTCAAATATTTTCCATGAATAAAGGGTTGGGAGAGGAATGAGACTCTTCTCAAGCTCCAAACTAAGTTGCCACATAGAAGATTCAGAGGTTGTTTAGGAAAAGCTCACTGAATTATCTGGATTACCAGCTCACTCTCGGCTAGCAAGTGTGCTGATTAGGGGTCATTTGGCATATGAGTTATATGATTTAAGAATTTTCAGTGTGACAAGATAGTTGGGAGCCCAAAAGGGCTACCTGTGTTCTGGTCACCGTTTATTAATAGGGCAACCTTTAGCATTAAAACCCTAAAATTAAGCCCTTTTTTGTTGGTAATTCTTAAATTAATAATGCAGCTAGCTACCTGCTACCAGCCAGATCCGGTTTGCCTAAATGGAATACAGGTATCCCATGTAATGTGCTTATATTATGGATCTATATTTAGTTTTTGAATCTAAATGTCATTTTCAGGACTTGTGTATTGCCAAATTTAATTAAGTTTCTAACATGTGCAGATATTTTAGTTATTGAAAAAAAAAACATGTGCAGATATTTGTTTTTTTTTTTTTTTGATCAGTAACAAAAAATTTTATTAATGATGTGAAGATTTGTGAAACTTTAGATACGATAGGGGGAGGTAAAATGTCTTAACTCCCCATCAACAGAATACAATGAAAGAAAGTTAAAAATTAGCCCAAAAGATAGACTCCCTATTCACCCCCTGCTTGGCCAGCCCATCTGCTAATGAGTTAGCAGTCCTCTTCACCCAGCTGTATTGTATCTCAATGTGCAGATGTTTGTTTAAACATACAACATTACATATTGTAAAGTGTCAATGCTATAGAATATATATATCTAGAAGCATCAACCAGTATCTGGTATCATATCCAATAAATATTAGAAACTGGTACACTAGGCATGTACAGGCATCCATGATCCAGGTATCATAATATGGGCCACAAAAAAATGTATGGAAGATTCTAGTATCTGTAAAGATTTGGTTAGATTGAACATATTTGTTAGTGGATTGGTAAAAGAACTGTATTTTATGCCAAAAAATGTAAATATACTAGGGGCATTCCCCTTATACATCAATTACAGGTATGGCTGTTCTGCTCATTTACAAAATCTACAGATACAGATCTTCAGGATAGAAGTATCTTTGGTAGTCTATGTGTGTATATATATATATATATATATATATATATATATATATATAATGAACTGAGTAAAGAATTTGTTTTTGCAACTGTGGCAATCTGTGGTGAGGTTCTATATAAATGGGAAAGCATTGAGATTGTTGTTTAAGACCTATGAAGCACAAGCTTTGGAACAAGTCAGACTCCACCAATATTCTTTTAATCTATATATGCTTGTTTATTTTCTGCTTTTATCGATTCCCTTAACCTTCATCCCACTTCTCTCAGTTATAAACCATAGTTAACATCTTTGTTATTATTCTTTCCCTTCCCCAATCAATCTAGCTCTTTTATTGATCTTCTTCTTAAAAATTTACCCATTAAAATCCCGTGTCAACCACTGTTTGACCCTTTAGATGTGTGTGCCCCTCTTTACCAAACAATTTTAGACTACTAATATACTAAAAGAAAGCTCAAAAAGAAGGGCTGAAGGATTGATATTGATGGCTGAAAAAGTGTCCACCTCAAGGTCCTATCAAATGGACAATTTGGATCAGACACATCATCCCTGGATGTGGTAGAAGCGTGGCATATATGGAAGAACTCTACTTGACATATAATATTTTTTAAGCTTCTTGATTTGGAGAAAACAATAAAACAGATATACTGCTCAAACAGTAAATAAAAACGTGGCACTTGCTGATTCTATTGAACCGTAACCTATCATTACTTATCTAATTATTAAAATTCATTTAAAAATGTGAAGATAAATAGCTCTAAATGAACCTGTAGACTCCTTGAAGGGGAAGACCAACAATCATCTGTCATCAAAGATGATGGATAAGTCTAAGACAAATAAGAGAATAAAATTGTGCCCATTGACTGGAATACATGGGTAATAGGAAGAATTACCTATATTCACATAAACATAACCTAATTCAGCCAAACCAGTCGAGATGAGTTCATCAGCTGCCAGTAAAGAAAACAATTGAAAATCGTGAGGTAGTTTGGTCAAATAACAAGACGAAGCATCGGATAAATTCCTCAGGTGGCATATACGACTGATACTCATACACATCACAGCATTCTCAACAAACCGGTCATACACATTACAGCATATTCAACTAATCAAGCTCACATATATATAAAAATGCATACTCAACGCATCTTAAAATTCGGAGGGAAGGGATAACAAAATATTAAACTCAATACTGAAACAAATAAAGAAGATGCATTAATTTGTCTCTCCTTGCAAGCAACAATATGATGCATGCACAAGCACTAGAATATATGCATTGTAAGCCTCGTGGAAATTGTTGCCTAGGTATCTTGCTGACCCGCTATTGCCCAGGCACCAATTGCGTAGCGAGCTTAATTTAAGAGCTAAACAAATGAACAATGGAAGAAGGCAGATAGTCAGACCTGTTTCCTTAATAACAGTTTCGTTAATATTGCAGGCAAAGAAATTCCAGCTATTCCATCTGCAACCACAATAGAAATAACAATAACTAAAGGCATAGCAAAGAAAAAACAATGAAAAAGAAAACATCAGAACCCAACTAATGATGATGGATTAGTAAAGTAAAATTCAGCCTTGCCCAAAAATGTAAGCCCGTGACTTGCATGTCATTCTAAAAATAGTGTTTTCAATTTGAAGTCGGAATTGAGAAACTGAAAATCCAATTTCCGTTCCAAATCATTATTTTTTTTCTAATTTCAACAGAAATAAGAAAAAGAAACATATTTATTTTTTGCAAATAAACTGCTGGCACGTCTCCAATAAAAACAGTAAATCCGAAAAATCGCTGGTTATTGTGTAGCAAAAATTAAAAAGGAAAAAAAAAAAAACAGAAAAATCGCTGGATATCAGGTGTAGTGAAAATACAAGTTGCAAAAATGTCTCGCTGCTCAAAATCAGGAAGAAGGTCAACAAAAAGATTAAAACAGTATGTAACAATGCATAACAAGTCGGAGAAAAAAGAAGATAAAACTTAGCATTAGTAGTGGGAAACGGTTACCCCATCTGAGGCGTTTGAGCCAATCCGTTGTTGAGTTGCAGTTTTCCATAATTAGAAGTATCGAAAAGGTTGGATTTCAACGCGGGTCTTTCGTTATTTTCAGGAAGAGGTACCACTCGAACTGCGACCGTGATAGAAATTGCAGAAACCCAAAGGATCAGAAGAGAAATGTACACGGTGTGATTAACCATTCTCTCTATCTCTGTCTCTCCGTTTTCTTCTCCTTCCTCACTTGTCAGAGTAAGAACGGAGGGATTTGATTTAAGAAAAAAAAGTGCGGGATACAGAGCTGTTTGCCGGGGCCTGGCGGTTTATCCACTTGATAGTTTGGTACAGACTGAAGCGTGAATTTGGAAGTAAAGATATACTTAATTTATTATTAATTAATACAATTTTGGTTTAATTACAAATATACCCGCTTTTTTTCTTCAACGCTTATCTTTCTTTTTCAATTGAAAAAACAAAATCATTTCAGACTCTTCCTTGTGCAAATTTCCCATTGCTTATTGGAAATTTGCCTTAATACGAGGAGGTTAGGTTAGATCAAGATCCATTCATAGCAAATCAGAGTCTTGAGTCTTGACCGGTAAGTGAGGATACGTAGACTAGATGTAAATTTTGCAAAATCTTGGATAAACAAGACGAGGGCATTTTGGATAATGTGAAATAGTTCTTTATTTATTAAGGCATCGAAAGTTGACGTTTTCGTAATCGGTGATCCATCCAGCATTCCAGTGTCTTCTTCTCATTATTTATTCTTAGGGGGTAGGGATGGGCTATAAGAATTGGGATATGCCACTCACAGAGGGCGCCTCGTAATTAACCTCACAGGCACATCTACTATGTATTGAAAATATTTCCGTAAATAATAATGTATAAGTACGAAAGATGTTTCTAATGCATGGGATGTGATTATGAGGTAGGTGTGGTGCCATGTGTGAAAAGTAGATCCCGTCTCATGTTATAAATTCATCATAATCTTTTACTTACCAAAAAAATAACTCAATCTTTTATTATTAGAGTGGTCAATGGTTATTTTTGTTATTATTATAAAAATAAGTAAATAAATGAATGGGAAGGTTCCACTTCAATATCCTGAACTTTGGGTGTATTGTCAAGTTAGTACTCGAATTTTTAAACTTGTCACTACAATATCTAAACTTTCAAAAAGTGTTAAGTTGGCCCCTACCATTAACCGACTGCCAGTTATTTGTTGAAAATGTTAAAATTACCCTTCAAAAGAAGACATTGTTCATCGTCTTCTACCTTGAGACTGACTCAATTATCTTCAAAGAAAAAGAGAGAAAAAACATAAAATATGATAAAGAGAAACAATAACTAAAAGCAAATAAATAACTAGACAATAATGTGTCTCAGATCTAAAGGTAGTAGAAGACAATGACTTCATTAGTTTACGTTAGAAAATAGTATAAAATACGGAATGGAACATATAAAACAACCCACAGGCCACTTGTAGGCATGCACCCGCTTACCAGACCTCTGTGAACCACCAAGAATGATGCTCATAAAATCGACACTTGATAGAGATAGAAAGTTGTGTTGTGTGCAATGATTTGTGTTTTTAGGTCGACCAACACTCATTTTATGTGAATATTTATAGTGCTTTCCTCCTATGGGTCCCTACCCATAGAGAGAACAAATCTATAGATATATTCCAACTCAACTCCCTTCCCAAGCAATGTGGGATAAGGAGTCTTCCCATGCATTTAAATGAGGGAAGAGGTACAAGGAGGGAGGAGAGATTTTTGAAATTTTGAATCTCCCTTTAGCAGTCTAAAATTTCAAACACTTCAACTGGTCCAGTCTCAAGGTAGAAGATAATGAATAATGTCTTCTTTTGAAGTGTAGTTTTGACATTTTCAATAGATAATTAACGACCGATTAACACCAGAGACCAACTTGACACTTTTTGAAAATTTAAAAGTTAGGATACAAATTTGACACTAGCCCAAAATTCAGGTACTAAAGTAGAATTTTCTTTAATGAAAAAGAAACCACAGAGACCGGATCTGCTTCTCACACCTAGCGCCTCACATGCACATCCTATCATCTTTTGGGAACATCTCTCGTACTTATTTGTTATTGTTCACGGGAGATGTTCCCAATGCACGGTGGATGTGCCTGTGAGGCGCCGATCCCGTCACGAAACCACATGCAGTGAGCCAGTGAGGTGACAGGATCTGTTCCTCACAAATGGGCGCCTCACAGGCACATCCACCATGCATTGGGAACATCTCCCGTGAATAATAGCCAATAAGTATGGGAGATGTTCCCAATGCATGATAGGATGTGCGTGTGAGGTGCCAGGTGTGAGGAGCAGATCCGGTCTCGCCAGTGAGGACATACAAAAGCAATGACACGGTGTTTACTCTTTTTTTTTCTTTTTTGAGATTTTTGGCATGAGAGGTGCCACTCAAATTTGGAGCTGATTGACTGAAACCTCTCAAGTACCGGAAGCCAATCAGAACTAGAATCAAGTGATAATACTGTTAGTTTGATTGACTGATGTAGTCGGTGGTTATCTGATGTAGGAATCATAGACGTGTCCCCTGCATATACGAAGCCCCAAATTCTGGTGTATCACCGGTTGATGAGCTTATCTCAGTCACCTGACGTAGTTGGGTTGGAACTTGGAACTTGGGAACTGGTCCCATAAGAGGAACGAGATCTGCTCCTCACACGGGGGCGCCTTACATGCACATCCACCGCGCATTGGGAATATCTCTCGTGAATAATAACTTATAAATATGGGAGATGTTTCCAATGCATGGTACAATGTGCATGTGAGGCACGAGTGAGGCACCCTGTGTGAGGAGCAGATTCGGTAAAGTCATGGAAGAATTCAGTAAAGCCACCTTTCTCGACATGTACGGTGTTTGGTGTTTCCAATTGGTGGCGGGATCTTCTCCTCACAAATGGGTGCCTCACAGACACATCCACCCGTGCATTGGGAACATCTCCCATGAATAATAGCTAATGAGTACGGGAGATGTTCTCAATGCATGATAGGATGTGCGTGTGAGGCGCTTGTGAGGCGCTAGGTGTGAGGAGCAGATCCTATCTCTTCCAATTGAGAAAGGGCTAATTTGACATTCTAGTAACGTCGTGTCACGTGGTACCTATGAACCTTTGTATAATACCTTGGCGCCACATGGGTAGTGATGCATCATTATCAAGTTAGCTAGATTCACTTTGGATGTACCTTGAATCTACCTCTGATCCACTTTGGTTGCACCTCAGATCTACCTCATATGCACCTCGGATCCACCTTGAATTCACCTTGGCACCTCGGCTAGGGATAGAGGAAGGCATGGCCTTATGCGATGTATGTACCTCAGTGGAGCAAACCAGTAACCTCAATAGGATCAGACCAGGGACCTCGGCAAAGAGGGGCAACCTCCCTCTGAGGACTTATCGACTTGATTGAGGTCGAGGTGACGACCTACATGATGTGGCGACTGACTTCCACTACATGCAATTTATCATCTCCAAGTCCTCTAGGATTACGTTGCCCAACTAATGAGGTTGACTCTCGTGTCGCCCGCATCGATTATAATCGGATAAGCCTTATGACTATCCATGGAAACCACCTCTAAGTGTGATGGGCCGATAAGCCACGTCCTTTTTGGAGATCTCAGATGTGTTATGTGAGACTCATGACTACCTACACCTATATAAAGGTACATCCTTCAATAATAAAAGATACTCGCGATTTAGCTCTCAGAACTTTCTTTCTTTTTTGCTTTCTAACTCTCTCAAAACTCTTTGCTCACTTAAACACTGGAACACCCACCTCGAATACTTTGACTGTCTTCTTGCAGTCTGGCCAACCAATCTTATCATACAAGCGTCTGAACTATCCTCCAATAGGGAGTATTAAATTACGCACCATCACCAATGTTTTTTTAACTAGACTGGCAAACTGATCAACCAAACCGAGTTGAACTAGAATTCAGACTCTTTGATTCTGGTTATGACATGATTTATGAACCCTCCGGACTATATTTAAAATAATGTTGAGTTTAGTCAAATTTGGTTTAGATTGTGAACGATGTACCTAAAATTTAGTTTAGATTGTGGTTGAACCATGGTTTTTAAAAACGAACCGGTGATCGAACCAGTTAGGCGTCCGTTTACCAGTTTGAATGGTTCGGCCATTCGACCCGAACGTCCGGCCCGTTCTGACAAAAAAAAATTAAAAAAAATGAAAAATTGGAAAACGGACAAAACCATTCGAACGGTTCAAACGATTAACCGGTCAGTTCAGCGGTTTGCTGACCAAAATCAACGGTTTTAGGGGAAAAAGCGGTTTTGGAGGAAAACGGAACGACAATTCTTGGTTTTTCCGGTTCGACCATCCGGTCCGATCCAGTTTTAAAAACAATGGGTTGAACCATGAATCATTTAAACCAATTTCTCGGTATATGCAAACCTAACAAATACATAAACAATACTAATAATAGAGCTTAATTGGCTATTAAAACAAAAATAAGGTGCAAGAACATAAGAAACACATGCTTTTAACACACTTTTGTGAAGTAATAATATATTTTAATCAACATAATGGACATGGACTAATTCATATATATATATATATATATATGAATTATAAACCTATTGTAAATTATAGTGTATAAATATTATATAATATATTATAAAATTTACAATTTACTTAAATATCAAATAATACAAACCAATTTGAATGAGTTAATCGACTATAATAACTGATGATGGATATTTTTAATTATGAAAACAATTTATTAATCAACTACAAATCAGATCTGTTTCTCACACAGTGCTCTTCACAACAACCTTACAGGCACATCCCATCATGTATTGGAAATATTTCCTGTATTTATGTGTTATTAAAATATTATTTATGGGAGATGTTTCTAATGCACAGTGGGATGTACTTGTGAGGTGCGCTTTGTGATGAGCATATCGTTCATTTCATTTATGTAACTGCTATAAATTTTGCATGTCCCTCAAAATACCACCAAAGCAATGGGAAGTCAGATCCCCATGAATCCAAAATTTTGAGTCCGTTTGATAGGACTTTCGCGTTGGAGCCGAGGTGTATTGATTCAACCTGGTGGTTGAGCATTGGTATTTTCGAGACGCTGCCTGGTCAACTTGCCGCTGTATTTCTTGCGTCCGGAACACTGATCAACTCTTACCCGATTTTTATCAAATATATATATACAGCTCCTGGCATTTCTGTATGGAGCCAGATTAGAATGCCAAAAACCGCATTCGGAAAGCCGAAAGCCTCTCTTTATATGGGCTGGCTTGGGCCCGTCTG